CATAAGATTTTTTTTGTGTAAACGAGGTTCTCGCCAGTTAGTTCAGAATTAGAGAAACTTACAACAGGTCGTTTGTAGGACCTGCTTCCAAGTTTTCCAAATAATGGCAGCGGCAAATGTAGGGTTTATATTTATTTTAACTAACATTTATTTTAAGTTTAAACTATCTTTCCTGTCAAGCCTTACTTTCCCCTGGAACTGCCAATGCCAGAATATGTAAGTTTTAGTAGAACGCGCAAGGATTCAAATTATCAGCGGAAGTATTATGATTTAAATAGCAAGGAAACGAGTTCGGTGGGTGATATTCTTACTTCACGAGCGCGGAGGTAGTTAGCGAGAAATTGAAGAACCCCGCGTTTCGGCCTATGTGCTTGGCGGGAAGTAGTGTTAATCGTTCAAGTGAGCTTCAAGTCTGCTGAATTAGCAGCGGTATTGTAAAACGCGGTGAGTTAGTTATTTTAGAGAGCCTCGTAGTTAGAGTTTTGTCTTTAGTTTCTTTTCAGGTTATTATTTTTATTTGACCGCCGAGTTGGCGCAGTCTGTGAGCGTCAAAAGCACGCAATTGTAAGTTTTACGTTGAATAAAAAGGGACTTAAACCCTTCACAAGACTCTGTATTTTATCCAGTTTTCACAGTCACCTCTTGGTTGCGTGCAAGTTGGAGGCGCGCAACGTTACAACCTTATTAATTTTTGAAATTCAAAATAGTGTAGAAGTCGCCAAAATGGAAAATAATGTCACTTCACATAATATGACAGCGAAAAATAAAAATGCTTTATTTTAATGTTATTTCTTAAATATAATTCCAGTGTATTACCATTATTTTAATGATTTTCAATGTTATAATGTTTAAAAAAAATCACCGAAAAATTACCAGATCTTCGAATTAAAAATTTTCAGTAGAAACTGATCTTAAAATCGCCAAAATTTTGATAAGTCTCCAAATTTAGAACCGTTTAATAAAAGAATTTACATCCCCAAAAGTGAAAACTTGTTTAAGAGCTATTCATTAAAAAAAAAATTAAATAATTTCCAAATGCTCATGTTTCACTTCTTGCCCTGAAACTCAAGTATACAATATTTATATCAGAAACAGGAACAAATTATAACTCATGAACCCATTCAAAACATAACCATATTTGTCAGTGAATCGCCAAAAATATTCCTTCAAAATGCTAATTCACACTCAATATAAAAATCGTAAAAACAGGCAGCAATTTAAGATGTTTAAAATTAAGGACCTTCTGCCAATTTTGGCTGAAATTAAGGACTTTTAAGGACCAAAAATCGATTCCAAAAAAAACCCAAGGACTTTTAAGGACCGTACAAATCCTGCTTCACGTAATCGAGGTATAATACGCCTTAGAAATTAGAAAATCCCTTTTTCTAGTAACAGCTACATTTGCCAGTTATTAAATTTATAAAATAGTAGAAAGATAGTATATAAAAATAGTAAAAATAATTGAAAAGGAAAAAATAACTTTTTACATAATTACATTAAGTTTCTTATCAGTCATCCAACTATTACCTGCAATAAAAGTTTAAGTAATAATTATCATATCACTTTAGATGAGAAATTTATACCAGCTTTCTTTAAAATATAGAAATTTTGAATAGAGGTGTTTTATTTTCTAAGAGAATATTCACTAAGTTAGTGATTTCTTCTAGTAAGTATTCAATTTTGTTGCAAATACAGTCAAATACCGAAAATGCGGCGACCTGAAATCCGCGTTGCCTCTCAGAATATAAACATTCAGTTTATAGGTTCCGGAAACCGCAACATTGAGTACGAAATATCGAAAAAAAAATACTTACCGAATAATGACGTCATAATTAACGAATGAGTCAAAACGGAAATACCAAATTATTGATATAAAAAAGTTTAAAAAATAGGATAAAATAAATAAGTTTTTTTCCTTCTAATCTGCATCGAGGTAAAAAAGCAGACAATTCACTCAACTCTTTGTTCAAGTTCACGATTCAGGTTGTTATATTTTCTGAGCTTTGTTATTTCATTTCATGAGATTGTTTAGTGCTGCCTTTTTTTTATCCAGATATTTTATGGATAAATTAGAATATTTTTAATTTCAGCTCTTTTTAATACAATGACAGATAAGAAACGCAAACGTGATTTTACTGCTTGCAACATTGAAAAATGTAAACACGTTGCATTGACTGTAACACAAAAAGTGCAAATTCTGTAAAAAATGGAAGCAGGTGCTACTCCTCGATTTATAGCAGAATGGTAAGGAATTGCAACACGATTGTGTATGAAATATGGAAAAATAAAGAAAAGCTGTTGAAATTTTACAGCAACAGTGATTCTAACACTGGAATCCGAAACTGGAAATCTTTGCTCGAGGCGAAATCGGTAAACCTCGATGTTGTGCACATATAATACAATGAATAATATAATCAATTTATATATGTAATAATAATTTAATGCATATAATAAATTATTGCAATAATGTATATAATAATTTAATGCATAGAATAAATTATTTCAATAATGTATATAATAATTTAATTAAGTGAATCTAATACAAATGTTGTACTTGAGATAACTGTTGTTGGAAATGAAATTCCTTGGTGAAAAGATACAAATTAGATCACTGAACTCATGCTAGCCCCCATCGGGATACTGCTGATTTGTTTAAAAAAAAAAAAAAAAAAAAATTATTAAATGCTATGTAGTTATTAAATAGAATACTTTTTAAATAAAGTTGCCACTCTTCTTTGGAAATAACAGTAATAACTTGTGGAAATAGATCTGGTAGAGTAATAACACGGTCGAAGACTTCATGTAAAGGAATAGCTGTGTATAAATTCTCAAAGTCGTAACAGAAAAAATTATCAATCTTTAAAGTGTGAAGCGTTTCTATTATCGGTTCGTTATTATTTATTATCCAGTTGAAATTGTGGTCTTGCATCTGTTCATCTTTAACAGAGTAGAGAACCTTTTTTAAGTATTTTCGTAAAACGCTAGTCTTTTTCTTTCAAGTAATTCCTGGTCGAAATTTGAAGCTTTCATTGGATTCTCCGCACAATTTTCCAAAAACCCACTGAACGTTTCTCCTATTGAAAAGGCTTTTGTCTATTTCGCTTCCGCGGATTTCGGCCGAGCTATTAAAGCTGCTGTGCAGGCCTTCTGCATGTAACTGTTCCAATCCAATCAACAGAATATTATGTTTTATCTTAAGTAGTGGTAATTTGCACATCTTAAGTAATCAATTAACATCTTAAATCGTAATTTTCAAAATTCAATTAATTGCATCTCCTGGAACTAGAAATATATGAACCTACTGATTGTGAGGATAAGGATTTTGGAACCTTCAAACCAATTTTGTTTTCCCAATCCTTTTTCGAATGTCATTTCATGGCATTTTGTTCAAAACTCAATTTCATTTTATGATCTTTCAAGCACAACTTTTTATTTTTGATGATGGCTCTTATGTGAAATAAATCAATCACAGACTTTCCATCCATAGGCAATTCCCAAATTTTGAAATCCATAATAAGCAGAGAAAAAAAATTAAATGCTTTAAATATTTACTTCATGTGAAAAATTCACAGGTGAAAAAGAAAACTGAACTCGTGAATTGTGTATCTCTTTAATTGAACTACTGAATTGTGTAAATCAAGCTCATGAATTGAGTTAGGTTTACCACAATTAATTAAGAGCATCACTGGTGCCAATAATAGGTTAGTAATTTTTATGGCCCCCATAAAGAATAGTGTCATATTTTTTAATGAGCATAATAAAGAATATTTTACTAATTCTTACAATAAATTGCTTTTTTTTTTCCTTCTTCTTCTTCTTCTTTCAAAACAGCCATTTAATTTTAAAAACCATGACCATACTACATTTAAATTTTAGAAGTAAGTGTACTTTATGATGTACTCAGAATATACTAAAAAAATAACAAGAACAGTATTGAGATGAAAGTTAAAATTAATGTGAAGTATAACAAATTACTAAATTCTTTGGTAAAAAAACTTTGGACCTTAAAGTAGAATTTACGAGAACACAATAATAATATTTCATAATTAACCTTTTAAAATTTTTTACTCATAAAATGCAGTATACAAATATATAGTTGTACAGTTTCTTTTTAAAATTATTATTATACATAAAATACTTACAACATATTCATCAGAACTGCTTCCAAAAATGCATACATTTATTTTCACTTGCCACTTATGTTAAGCACACATTTTCTTTAATACATAATAATTCTTTCACTTTTGATAATAATTAAATTATATACAACAGCTTCTGCTTTAGTTATAACATAGTATTTAAAGTAATATTTTATTGACAATATCAAACAACTAAGTATTGCATTATATTAGTATTTAAGCATGTAAAAATCTTGAACAAAATCAAGTTTAGTGATGCTATGAAATATACTGATAACTTTTAGTAAAATGAGTATCACATTTTTAATGCAATTCAAATTTTTATATCTTTATTGTCATAATTTTATAAATACTATTAGCAAATAAAAAAGACAATAAACCTGAATTTCCACAGAATCCTGCATCATTAAATTATTTCAGTTAACTTGAGTTGCTTTGTGCTCAAAAATCTAACATTGATAGCATTGAAATAATAAATATTAATGACATCTAATAATTGAAAACAATAATATATTTGATATAAATGCTGGCCAAGACTTCCTTTGCAGGACTGAAATGTTTTGAATAAGAATATGTGCAACTTAATGAGAAAGTATCAAGTAAGGTTTTCATTAATTTATATATATATATATATATATATATATATATATATATATATATATAATTTATTTCCTAATGTCTCCACAAAGAAGAAGCTGTCATAAAATTCAAGATAAGAATAAGAAAAGCAGATGAAAGAAAGAGAAAGAAATACTTCTATCTTAAACCTTTTCTAAATATAATATTTCAATTATTAAATCAAAATAAATAAAATGCATATTGAAGCTTCATTTTTTATGTGCATTTATGTAATTCCTGAAATAAAGTTTTTAAATATAGAAAGTTAACATATTCTATAAATAAGAGAAATAGAAATTTATTTCACTGGAATCCTGAAAATTAAGAAAGAAAAGAAATTATATTTACAATATTTTACTGCCCCCCCCAAAAGAAGGTAATATAAATATGTGACTAGAAAAATCTCACAGTGAATTTCTTCATGTATTAGATGAATTAAATTCAAAAACATATCACAAAGAATATCACAGCATTAAAAGTGTTAAGCAGGCAACATTAATACTGCATTCAATACAAAACAATATTATCAGATAATTAAATACTTTCTTTTTTCAAAAACTTGTTTACTTAAATATAATAACTTAACAAAGTTAATAGATATAATATCAAAGCTAACATAAGCATATATTTATAAATAAAAACAAAACTCATACATTAAAATTAAGTTACAATTGCACAACAAAATTTAAATATCACAGAACACATTAAAAAAACCTAGTTATAAAAGATATAAAATACATACTGTAAATTTAAAACTTAATAAAAACTTCCACATGTAATGCTTCCATAGTCAGTTTAAAATTACTAATTACTTCCATAGATAAGTTTTAAAACGCCTACAAAAATTGTAAAAGTATGGAAAAAAGTTACTCTTCCCCTTTCTACATTCCATTTACATTTTCATAACAAAAGTCAGAGCTCTCTATATGGTTAAGATTAAAACTTGTTTCTTCTTTAGGCAGATACGGAATAGAATCACTTGGAATTTTAAACATGTTAGGAAAAGCTCTACAGCTGTTCATTTCTGGATGTAGTGGTCTGTAGGTGTTATTAAAAAGAACTGGATCTACATATTCTTCAATGTAAGTATTAATACCATTATTTTCTTCCATAAGAATACCTGAGTTGTCATATTCTTCAACATAGTTTTTAGTATCTTCACATACTTCAACATTATTGCTAATATCTTCCCATTCTATTTTAGTAGCACTGTTAGAGCAAAAATCACCATTGCACACAGAAGAAAAGCCATATGGAATAGGAATTAGATTTTTTGCATTAGAACGCTCAGCATAAAGAGGCTTTTCAAACCAATTCATATTTCTGCTTTCATAAGTAGAATTATCTTGTAACTGAAAAACTATTTTAGAATAATTTTTATTCTCAGGAAATGTAAAATAAGAAGAAACACTCCTTCCAAATTCAGAATAATTTTCCTCATTAATTTCATAATTTCCTTCGGAATTATTTTCAAATGTCTCAGTTCCAGCACTAGTGGAAGAAGAATGTTGAAAAGCCCTTTCATTAGAATTAGGGAGAGTTTCGCCATCAAGAAAGCTATAAGTATCAGAAAAAGCATTCAGCATAGGATTTAATATATTAACTTGAGCATCTGACTGCAAGCAGTTCAATTCAGAAGAATTACTATCATCCCCTATCAAAGGAACACTAGGACTTAAATTTTTGTTATATGAAATATTTTCTTCCTTTATAGGCAAGAAAAAATCTGCTTTGAAACATGCCTCATTTTCAGAATTTGTAGGGGGATTACAAAACATTGATTTCTTAGAGAAACACTCAGATTTTTCATTTTTTTGATCCACTGAAGTAATTTTATTTGATACCTTAACAAGAGCCCATGTACTGTTCAGTGATGGCTTAAAATTAATGAAATCCTGGCCTTCCTTCAAAATATTAAGGTATTCCTCAGAGCTTTTATCATCTTGCTTTATTGAAGAATTTCTATTTGATTCTTTGACAAAATCAAAAGTATTATTCAGAGATGATTTATAATCAATGCAATCCTCAATTTGCTTAGAGATACCTAAATATTCCTCAAAAGTTTCATTTTGTTGTTCTATTGAAGGATAATTTCTATCTGATTCTTTGATACAAGAAAATTTTCTGTTTAAAGATGATTTAAGATCAATGCAGTCCTGATCTTGCTTGGAAATTTCATTTACAGAACCTTCGTTTTTACTAATCAAATTTTTCATTTTAATCAAATCAGGAACTGGAGATTCAGTTACAGATAAATTATCACTTTCCTTAGAAATATCATTTGGAATAAACTGTGAACTAAATTCTGAATTTGGCATTTTATCATAAGACATAAATTCATCAGATTCCAGAGAAAATGGGACGGCATCATATGCATTATAAACTATGTTCTTTGAACTTACGTCCTCAGTTATAAATTCCGTAGACAACATGGGACTTTTTGAGGTATTTTTGTAGTGATCTGTACCTGACATATATGAAAAGTTTATACACTTCCCTTGATCATAAACTGAGTTCAAAAGCGGTGAAAATATCTGAAAATTTTCTTGACCTTTATTTTGCTTAGCTTTTTGATAAAAGGGCTGATTTTTTTCTGAAACACATGACCTTTTACTTTCAGATTTTATATCATTTATTTCTTCAGGAACATCAATAACCTGTAATTAAATAAGAAAATGTAATGAGAAATATATATTTTAAGTTAAATTTACTAGGTTTAAAGTTCATCCTGAAAAAATAGTGTTGTTTTACAAGCACAATTAATAACATTCTATTTAGGAGAAAATACATGGAAACCAGATCATGCTTTTCTTTCTAAAATACCACAATAGCTTTTAACAAACATGCCACCATTGTATCTCAGCACATAATTTAAACAAATAGCAATCATACAAACATCACTGGATTACAAAATTTAAGAAAAATCAACCTCAGAATGATGTTTTTGCTGTAAAATAAATTTCAGAGAAAGACCTTTCTTACAAGAAAGAAATTTTCTAAAAAACTAGTGTCAGTCTAAGAATGATTTTCTCTAATTTTAAATTTGATGTAGCTTGATTCTATTCCATGTAACAAAAGGATGATTGCATTAGAGACAGCATAGTTCAAACAGGGCAATATAAATTAATTAGTCCAAAATCTATGCTTCTGTTCTACTAGTACAAAATCTAACATTTCATGTAACAAAATAATACTATATAGCTCAACTAGTACAGTTCAGAACTCGTTGGTACAAAATTTATAAATTCAAAATCTATAGATTCCAGATCTGTCTGTAACAATCTTATGTAAGTTTTCTTAGATTAGAAACAAGGTATCATACATTCTTACTGTTGTTACAATTATAATAAAATAATATTATAATAAAAGAGTATGCTGAAAATAGTAGTTTTTGGTATGTTCTGACCGTTTTCCTAAATGAATATCAGAAACTGTTTAGAAAGTTTAGTTTTAATCAAAGGGAGGAAGAACTATTATGGCATAATAATTGATTCACCAATAAAATATACATGATAGTTACCATACAATTCAGGAGAAGCTTCATAATTGATCAACTGATAAAACATACATGTGATGGTTACCACATAATTTAACTAGAGATTGGTCATGAAAGTTATTTTTAAAGGTGAAATAATGTGTTCCATAGATCCTCCTATAAACCAAGGATGTCAAAACTCGCGACCCACAACAAATATTTTTACGGCCCGGCAAATAATAATATATAATAATAAAATAACATATCGACGAAGAAAAAAATGAAATGTTTACTGCTAAGTAATTAACAATAATTTATTCAGTGTTGTTAGATTACTCACAGCGAGCTGACACACACACTACTTCAATTATAAATGCGTGTGAGTAGCTTGCGTTCAGCTACCTTCGGCTTTTGGGGGACACGTGCACTCAGAACTTGTACGCATCCCCCGATAGCCAAATGTGGCCGAACTCATGGTCTCAGTTTTCCAATCATAGTTTTGTACGATATATTTGCTTTATTATTAATTATTACTTAAATCATATTGTTACGGATTTCATAGTTAGGGGACACGTGCACTCAGAACTTGTACGCATCCCCCGATAGCCAAATGTGGCCGAACTCATGGTCTCAGTTTTCCAATCATAGTTTTGTACGATATATTGGTGCATGCATGTGCATGCACTTTGCTTTATTATTAATTATTACTTAAATCATATTGTTACGGATTTCATAGTTATTTATTTATTTAGTTTTTTTTATTTAGAATTGTAATTAGATTTGCTTCATGTTGCCTTCATTGAAGTGGGCGTGCCTGAATTTTACAAATATTTACCAGCCACGTTTGAAAATACTCGAAAATTCGCATATGAAATTATTTCCATGTTTGGTAGCACTTATCGGTGCGAGCAGTTATTTTCAGTCATGAAAGGTAATAAGTCTCCTATTAGAAAGCGTATTAATGATGCTCACCTTGGGTCAGCGTTGAAAGTTATCACTGCAAACAAAATTTCTCCCGAAATAGGAAAGATAATAGCAGAGATGTCTAGTATCAGGACGTAAACATTAAATTTTTCTTGTTCTTTTCTATATAAATATATATATATGTTTATTATTGTATTATTCAAAATAAATCTACGTTTCTATGAATATTGATTTTTTTTTGGGGGGGTGGCCCACCTAAAGTTAAACCTTGTTTGTTTGGCCCAAGTGTACCTATGAGTTTGACATCCCTGCTATAAACAGTGAAAAATCAGCATCAGATGTAGAACTAACTTTACGTAACAGTCAATGTAATACTCTGAAACAGATTACAACAAAGTATATGTTAAGTTTTTCAATGGGTCACCACTGTGTTTGTTACATAATCATATACATCATAAAAGTTATTAATCCATGTTCAATTTTTCTTCCAATTTAATTAAATTCATGAAAGATAAATTATTGATAAAAAGTAACACTGAAAAATACATAGGATTACTATATTTTAGGAAGGAGAACCCAGAATGTGGGCATTCATCAAAAGGGGTTATTGTAGTATATTGTCCTGCTAAAATTGAATACAAAATCTGTTTTTGTTCAGATGTATGCAAAATATATGTACAGTCCATGTGTTTTTGTGTTACAGTTTATAACCTCTTTGTGAATGCCCCCCAAAAGGTAAAAAATCAAATAAAAATCTATTCATAAAATAATTTGTCTCCAATTTTCTCCCTTCACTTGAAAATTTTCTGTCGATGCCCACGTCAGGAGGTAAAAATAATTAAAACACTTTATTTTTTCTTTTGTTTTCATTGCTGTAATTATCTTACAATGTATGTGAAGTACTTGAATAACAAATACAATATTCTTATAATATAACAGCAGTTCTCAACCTTTTGACTGATATATAACATCTAAACAAAAATAAGAAAACGTTAGTACCACTACTATGCTTTACAATAATTATTTTTCAATTTGCACAACTTATTGATTATTTGCATCAAATATGCGCACATTAAAAAAATATTAGATTAAAAATTGGTTACCATTTTAATTATCAAAATTTAAGTCATTCCACTACTATGCTTTACAATAATTATTTTTCAATTTGCACAACTTATTGATTATTTGCATCAAATACACACACATTAAAAAATATTAGATTAAAAATTGGTTACCATTTTAATTATCAAAATTTAAATATCAAATTTTAATTATCAAAATTTTAATAATCAAAATTTAATTACTTTGAAATTTAGTGTGAAATTCGTGCTTGTATGAGACAAATCAATTTTTTTATGTCTGGTCTTATTTCAACCATCCATTAGGATACACTTTTAATTTAGTTCTGTATTTATTTTTCAGACATAACATAAAAGAAAATCCTTGTTCACACAAATAGGTTATGCCGGATTCCCGACATCCAATGCACCAAAATGTGCACTAATGTACAATAGACTAATAGACAAATGGCACTGAATAGCTAACTGAATTTTTTAATGAATCTAAGTGCCACATCTAAATATCTATATGTGCGGTTCAGAGGTGTTTCTGTATAAATCAACATTCAATCTAGTTTAAAGAGGAATTTATTAAAATATCAAACAAATTATTATAATCTAGAATCGATTTAACATCTCATCAGCACTGTTCAAGCTGCATCAAAACAAATTGTCGAGTTCAGACTGTTGCCCTTCCGAGGCAGAGAAAACCAGAACTGTCATTAAACAGAATGTAAGTTATTTGACTGATTAAAGTTAATTTTTTGCATAGAAAAAAACTGAGTTTTATCTCACACTAAAAAACTGAAATTACTTTCTTACCAACTCGATATTACATACCAGTTCTTATTTTTGTATTAATCTTACTTTGATACATGTTACGTTCCCATACTGATCAAAAATTGCTCAAATATGCTATTTGGGGATACCACATTAATGCAAATACCCAAACATGAGTTTTTTCATCTGAGTCAGTTGTCTTTACCATGATCTTTTCTTCTCCCCTTTACACGTGAAGCTGAGTTAAATGACTAGCTTCTTTAACAAGTTCCATTTTAGAAGGTAGGTGTACCTGTTCTTCTACTATGATCACAACTATACTTTTCTGCAACACTTTCATTCTAGATTTTAATACTATGTTATGGATATTAAGTGTTTAGGTAACATTTGGATTAACTTCTTTATGAGCCTACAACTTCTAGAAGTAGACATTTACAGAATATTTTCTTTTCTCTTCAATTATTAGAATTACACATAGATTAAATTAATAACCCATTCTTTTATTTTGAAATACATTTATATAAACATATTGGATTTGTCTATTAAAAACATTTTAATGTGATAGTACATATTACTACTTAATGCAAAGTAATTTCTTCCAGTTACTGTCATTTTCTGTTGATTTCAACCTGTTATAACCAGATTTTGCCACTGACAAAACAAAAGATTATTTTCTGCTAGCAGAGTGCCTGCCTGTATATGATAGCACTTCCCCCTCTCTATTCTAAAAATGGTAATAACTTTCTTGAAACTGCATCATATCTGAAAACTAAGTCTGCATTATGCCTTCTGCACTGTGTACAGTTCTTGGCCAATTGGATTAACAAAACATTTTACTATAAATACCATTGCAATCCAACTATGCTCTCTTTTTTTCTCTGCATACACTTGCTAGCTAAAGAATGTCTCTTGCTTGGCTGCTTCTGTTAAAAATGTAATGCGTCATCATCAAAATTGTGGGGTGCGGATTGCCCATATTCTGCAGTGCCGTTTAATAGAGAAATCAATAAGTAATAAAGATATGTATGGATTAACAAGAGCTTTTGTATTTCTTCAAAAGTTCCTAGCATCGTCTACTATGTAACTGATATTTTCAGTGATCTTCTAACCTCAGTCCACTTGTAACTCCAAAATAACGCCTTCTCTGGTCAAGCACTCATCTCATATTAAATTATGGCAAAGAACTAAATTATTTAATCACATATCTATCTATATATATATATAAAACATAAAATATCATTTTCCTACATCTTATGATAATTTCTATGATCAATAGTTTGTTACATGGATTTTTGACATAAATGAAATAATTCATTAGTGATAACATTTGAGATGCTATTACAGTACAAAGTCCAAAATTCAGACACGTCGGGACTCCGGCGATTCCGGATTTGGTATTTTTCCGGATATTAGATCACCATTTTAAATCTAGTACGATGACATGTAGAAATTATAAAATTAAAAATATGAAATCATGATTTATAAAATAATGAAGTAAAGTATTTATGACCTAAAGGGTATCAAAATTTACAAAAAAAAAAAAAAAAAAACTTAATATTTATTTTTTTACCTTGAAACATTTCTTTCAATGTAAGTTGTTTAAGTTTTTTTTTTTTTTTTTTTTTTTTTGTTGTTGTTGTGTGTGTGTGTGTGTGTGTGCTAATGCCTTCTCTTCAATTCTTTAGACAGACATAATATCTTGTTCAGTTACATTGCTGAAATCCTGTAACTGTCGTTTCAAGAATTTTGACTAACTTGTCAATCGAAATTTTCTCGTTTTCAGTAACTTCTCTGTCACTTTCTTCATTAGCGGTAGCGGTATTTTCTAGATCTTGAACCATACTACAGATTTTGACATTCATTAATTGATTGATTTGACATTCATTAATTGATTGATGATTGAGAAGTCATTGTCATCACAATGAAAAACTTCTTTTATAATCATCTGCGTTTATTACCTCTTCTCCACATTTCTTTATAAAAGCTGTGAATTGGAAAATTTGACCTTTATTTTGCAATATCCGAAAACCTTTAAAATTAGTGGCTATCACCATCAAATTTAGCTATCCTTCACTATACATATTTGGTTATATGCATCATGAGCTTGGCAACTAAGGACAAGTTGTTTCGGTAAATTTTATTTTGCTTCTACCGCACACTGAGACAATTAAGCCTGAATTGTATTAGCTTAGTAATTAATTATACTTATGTCTATTTCTTGCACATGTTTAAGGCTTAACAGAGTTCTAAATAAATAAATTCTCACATATACTTAAGCCTTATTGAGGGCTGGCGCTAGATATCTTAAATTCTGTGACTCGGTGTGGCCACACGAGCCCTGGCACTGGTTCTGGGTTTATGTTAATAAGAAATCAGTTATTCTTAATTCAAATAGCCCTAAATGTAATCTTTGGGTCTATGATAAATTAGCAAAATCTATTTTCAGTATATGGAAAGAAATTTTTGGTAAAATTTTCCTCGTCAACATAAATCTATAATCATTGCCAAGAGTAATGTCAACATAAAAGGTCATCATACTCTTTTATTATTCAATTACTAACATAAACAAATTGTTTAGGCATCGCTACATGAGTCATTACTCAAGTCATTGTCATGTATTGATAAAATGATGCGATGATGAAAGGAAAGAATAATAATGATTCGCCAGGTTGGCGTCAGATCAACGATGTATCTATGTTAAATGTTTCAGTTTGAGATGTGTGCCAAGCAGATATGCAGCAATGGAACTAAATTACTGATCCTACAAATTTACGCTAGTTTTTTTTTTTTTTTTTTTTCCCCCCCAATAAGAAGGTATTTTATTTAGTGTCAAAGTGAAATTAAGAATCGAGACTCTCCAGATATTTTATTATGCCCGGAGGGAGGAATCAAATGTGCATGCATAAAGCTTATGAGAAAAAATGTTGTTGGTGGTTTTGAAGTCCGCATTTTAGCTCATTCCAGATAATGGATGTCCGGATTATGGACTTTGTACTGTATTATATCAAAACACATCTTATCAGATTTCAGTAAACCTTTGCTAAAAAATTACAACAAAACAGGAATTTTTTTTCCAATATAAAAAAATGTATGGAAATTATGTACATATCTTTGCAATGATAAATAATTATCTGGTTGTAACAAAAGTTTTCTGTCAGAAAATGTTCTTAAGTTAGGGAAAAAAACATGAAAGCAGTACATTTAGTGCAGATAGCAATCACTGTCTAAATCTATGATTTCTCTGCCAAAGTTTTGGTAGCTTTTCAAAGCCTTCAGCCCTGAAACTTGGTGGCCATGAGTACAAAAACAGATCAACTTCATTTCGGGCACCACATACAGAATAGTACAAGCAAGATATAGCTGCAAGTGTGAAAAAAAGGAAGTCTGAAGGAGCGATTTCGAGGCTATATTGTAGAAATCGCAAAAGATCCCATTCGAGTCCCTACAGAATCCAGCCGGTGAATACAGACACATGTAGTCTTGCATTATCTTGATGGAACATTACCTTTTTACACTAGAACTCAGTTGCACATTTTTCCTTGATAGCAGCATCAACATGTACTAGCATCTTGCTGTGCACATTACTGTCAAGGATTTTACCTTTTTCCAGATACTCTTTGTAGATAATACCATGGCAATCCCACCAGATATAACACATGATCTTTTTGTTAGTCAAATTGTACTTTGCGACGCGGTCGACAGGCTCGCCAAGTGCAGATCAACACCCTTTTCAGCCCATGTTGTTGAAGTAAATCCACTTTTCATCACAAGTGACGATTTGGTCCAGAATTTTGTCCTTGGATTGATATTTGAGCAGATTAGTGCAGGTCCGAACAAGTCTGCTCGTATCTGCTCGAGTCAGCTCATGCAACACCCAGCAATTGAACTAGTATGTCAAGTTTTTGCGATAGATACCGCGACTAATGGACATGCCATTAATGTTTAACTCCTTAGCAAGTTCTCGAATGGTTGCATACGGATCTTCTTCCACAAGTTCTCTCAGGTGAGCTTCATGAACATCAGTAGGCTGACCAGAGCCCTCTGCTTCTTGAAAGTCATAGTCCTTATTTCTGAACTTTCAGAACCAAACCTTCATAGTGTTTTATGATACAACATTAGTACATACACATGATTTGGTGACATTTTGTAGCTGAGTTTTAGCAACAGAACTGAGATTAAATGATGGTTCTAATTTAATAGTGTGATAGTTTCATTTCAGACACCTTGTACTTAATGATATTTTCTTACAAACTTCCCAATATAGTATTCTAAAGCAAGTCTCTTTCTTTCAAATGTCAAAAATCGTTTGACAAAATATGAGTAAACACACTAATGTAAACTGTTTGCACAGACAATATTTGGGATGGCGGGAAACTCATTAATGTTCTAAAGCAAGTCTCTTTCTTTCAAATGCCAAAAATTGTTTGACAAAATATCGTCATGCACACCAACACAAACTGTTTCTGCAGATATTTGAAGTGGTGGGAAACTTCCATTAAAATTCTCTTTTATTTTATATAAATATATGTATGTGAGTGAGAAGGTGTTTATGCATAAATTACTCTAACAAAAAATAAATAAATAAATAAAAATAAAAATTTTTTAAAAAATTTGAAAACTAAAAAAAAATTACTCACAGATTCCCAGACAACTGAAGGTGAATAACTGTCACCTAAAGGAATAAAAATACAAAATTAGAGATTAACTTTTAAAACAGAATTTCCTCAAGTTTAATCTATTCAAGTCACTTAATTTAACTTCCGATGAATAAAATCATTACAAAATTACTGTTTGTTAATCAAATGTAATACACCATTTTGATTATATTAATACAAATATTTATATAGTAAAAAACTATATATTAGAATTTATCTATATAGTTTAAAAGAAGCACATCTGTTCTGGCAATGAGCCTTTAATGTTTTATATAATAACACTGTATGCTTTTAGAGATATGCTTATAAAAAAAACTGACACAAATGTCTTTAAAAAAACTTACTAGCTTGATAACTGCAGCTTTCTTGAATACATTACTAAAGCTTCTTCCCCTCCCCAAACAAAGTTACACAAGAAAAAATTTCACCCCCCCCCCCCCAAAAAAAATCCATACACATAGGATTTATACGGTTTATAAATTTAGAGAGATCATTTACATAATCCATGACTATAATGTTGTGATCTGAAGGCTGCGAAACATACATTGAATGCAAACTACAAATCTAACCAAGAAATAAACCATGCTAGATTTAATGCTTTTATTTTAATAGCAAATATACTGCCCAAATCTAAACATTCTAAAACATGGAATAGCTTTATTTAAAGGACATTTGAATTATTTTACACCCTTGAATTTTAAGCTGTAGTTAGTAATAGACACTTTCTTTGCAATACTAACAGGCAAGAACTTTGCTCAAATCCGACACGTTTTAATTCACACTTTTAAATTTCTCATTGAATATTAACAAATCAGTTTTTAAATAATATAAATCTAAAAATTCAACAGAGAATAGACACAGTTAAATCTAGTTTAAAATTTAAGAATCTAATGTCTATTTTGATCATAAAGCTACTAATAAACAGTATTAGCTTAATAATGAAAATAAGGCAGCACATACAGTTAGGTATAAACACTTCCCCCCCCAAAGAATAAAGTCTGTTTAACTTTTTTGCTCATGTTTAATGTATATTTTTTTAAACTGGTGATATAATTTATTAATTCTGCGAGAATCATCACTGATTGCTGGAATGTCTTCATGTCATAATGTTTCCCTCAGAATTATTCCCAAAATATATTGAACAAAAATATATAGTGCTTTCTCATTATTCATACCCCTGCCAAAAAGCCCAAAAAAAAAAGTACCAGGTGATGCACCTTGACACTAAAAAATATTTATGTGGCAGCCCATGATGACACCATAAAGTAGTATTTATGTGACAACCCAAGTATGCCTGCAGTATACCCCCACCCAAAATGACTTTCCACCGATCTGGACATTTTTACGAGTGTGAATGCAGATTATGGCCTCTCCTATGGAAATTTCAGTGTTTTAACCATAATGATGGACAACATACTGTAGTTTTCATTGTCTTTAGCAAAATCTCAGACTTAGCTTTCTGCACACATACAGCATAATGTAGCTTACTTAAAGGCACAAAGGCTTCTTTTTTCCTTCTCATTTTAGGATTTTGGTGCCGAGGTTGCGCAGAGTGCCAAGTTTGCAGAATTATGTGATTTTTTTAGCAAAAGCAGATTGCTATTATACCAGGAGAAATGGGAAGCGCAAAAAAAAAAAAAGGGGGGAAGTGTGTGTGTGTCTTGTATGTAAAAAAAAAAGGAGGCACTGGATAAATGAAACAAATGTAAAATACTCAAACATATTTCTCCAGAGTCAGAAACAAGTTTGCAAATACTCCATAAAGTTGGTAATAAGTTTGCAACTTTTCAATGCGGATGCAGGTATTATAAAATACCAAAACCTGGTTATTGTTATTTGCTACAAAATGTAAACTTCTTTATTAAAATTTAGTTACAAAACTTTTGTTTTTAAGACCTGTACTAATTTCAATTGACATAGAATAATGTTTGTCATTTTTCAATATGAATGGAATATCATGCACCTTGGACCATTTTCCAATGTTATTTCAAATTCATTGAACGATAGTATTTTAATTTATCTTATTTAGATAAATGTAATAGATCAGTATCTTGTTGGCAGCACCATTTTAGTCGCACAATATCTTTTGTTTATAGGAGCATCATGTTTTTCAGAGTATCCACATATATTTTTTCAGCATGATATCATTTATATGAAAAACGGAAACTGAAAATTACCATGAAAAATAACCCCACAACATATGACAGCCATCTCATCTCTTGCCATTAACAGTTTTCCTTGTGTATTTTGGATTATTTGCCTGGCCTTGAAATCAGCAAGCAAACTGTTTCCCATCCATTCCAAATAAATTTATTTTCCACTGCTTCTTTAACACTAGATTTACAGGATCATTTGACGATTTGTAAAGTCAAATAAGTTTATGACCAAATAAATTGATCATAAATCACCCAAAATCATCAAATGATTCATCATTTTGATGGATTTCGGACTTTTTAAGCAAAATTATAAAAACCACAATTTTTACTTTTCTAATTTATGCTGACAATTATCGATTTTAATTCCCCTTCAGTCCTTTATTTTGAGAGTTCTGTATGATGTACACTTATCTTATACCTGTCTAAATGACGGGTACACTAGCTTTGTAGTTAATCATAATAAATCACTCTTTTTATGAAATTATTTTTCTGATGATAAATATAAAGTAATTAGAATGTAGATAATGTAGATGCTAAATACAAATCATAATTCAGCAGAAATATCTTTCGATCACATCGAATCCAATATCAATGCACAGCAGCTCACCATGGCAAGGGATATGTCATGTGTGATTATCTGTCGATTGTGCATGCCTAAACATAAAGCATTTCGGCTCGGCTAAGGAACAATTTGCAATCACTGAGTTCCAGACAATGTGTCAAGACGTTTTATAAAAAACTTCAGTTAGTGTGAGTAAAAACAATCGAGAAGAAACTATTGGATTGTTCTGAGTATTAGCTGAGTTTTCTGAATATCATTATAGAAGTAGAGGAAAGTACTAGATTTACTTTACTCTGATGAAATAACCTTCTTTAGACATCATGAGTAATTCAAGAAAAGAAGCTAGAGAGAATAATTAGTATCAGCGAAGACTGTTCTGATACAAGTTCTGGCGAGCCTGTTAACGCTAAAACTATTAACTTTTTTACACCAATTCTTCTTAGCCAGTCTTCTTAGTATCTTTCTTAGCCAGGGCATCAGCCATTTCATTACTACTGAGACCAATACGTGAAGGGATCCATTGCAGTTGTACATCATGACGGGAAGAGAGTTTTTGCTAGAAAGCCAGAATAGAGAGTGAAGTCTTTATAACCAATACAAGGCCAATTTTACAGCTGTCAGTCAAAATCCAGGTATCTTTGTAGGCAGTGCAACTGCAAGCAGCTTTAAGGCCTTCCTTAACTGCTATAAGCTCATAAAGAAAAACAAAGCAGTGATCAGGGCTTCTAGTCTTAAAGCTATTAATAGGTTTTCTAATGAAGACTCTACTACCCCCAATTTCCAAGTTCATTTTTATTGCCATCATTGTAAATCTCAAGGGCATTAGAGGGAATGCCATTCAAAGTTTCCATTGCAATCTGCCGAAGATAATCTGGTAAATCCGTCTTTTTGTTGGTGTAAAAAGTTAGGTCTGTGTGAAAATAGATACCAGAAAGTCCTTCCAATGGGTTGATAGTAAGTTTCAGTGAGTATCTCTCAATAGTTTTATCTATTACACACATGAGATAAGCCAAAGAAAAAAGGCTGTCTCTTTTCAATCTCTGATTAGAAAACCAATCATGAAAAAGTATAAAGGTATGGTTATGAGTACCATAACTGTATAGTTTATTAAAGTATTTCGGCAGTTTAGTTTTGCATCTCAAACTTAACGGCTGTATGTCACATTAAAAGCGTGCCATTTCAGCCGGGCAGCTGTTGTATAAGGAAGAAATTAGATGGGCTACACTAAATTGAACAAGCTCGAGTTTAGCCAAACTGGTAGGAGAAGCACAAAGTAAATCCCCAAACCATAATCCAAAGTGGATCTTATCAATGACATATACGTAGATTTGACAGTAGATGAATCCCCTCACTTGATACCAGATATATACTTAAGGATGTTAAGTCTTTTTCTGCCAGGTTTTCAGCATGTTTATTACTCAACAACTCCAAATCAAACATGTAGCCCAAATATTTAAGATGTTTAATATATAGTAAGATTAAATCCTAACTGGTTAGCCATTAGGCTAGACCAGATCCATGAATCCAAGAGCCATTAACCCTTTCCGGCACGCTACCTTTCAAAGCTGGAATTTCAATTTTAAAAAAATGGTAGGCAGTTTAATTAGGCCTAGAGGAGTACACAAGTAAAACTTTGTAAAGATAGCACTCATTGTTTTAATTCTGTGGGTGTGCCAGAAGCAGGCACACTGATTGAATAGAGCTTTGAAAAGAGTGCTGAAACGAGCATTGCTGGGAAGCACGTAAAAAAGAGATTTTGCCTACGATTAAACACTAGATTCTGAATACCATAGCAGATTTAGCATTACCCAAGGTATGCCACGGGAGAATCTGTTATTCTACACCTCCCTAAAAAGCTCATTTTTGGTTATATGTTTGGTTATATGATGATTACATGCTTATGAATGGAAAAAATCTGATGTGTGCACCACATGACTTGTACGGTATATTAAATTATACCCATTTTTTCTTGCATTTCATTTAAACTTATTAGATTGAATTAAATCTACTTCGTCGATAGCGCACAAACCACAATAGAATAAATGTACTCTCCAAAATTAACAATACAGTCAAAAGTCTTTAATCCGGACTCGTCGGGACTTTGGCGATTCCCAATTATCGGTTTTTCTGGATTATAGATCCTCAGTTTAAATCTGGTAAGATGACATGCAGAAATTATAAAATTAAAAATATGAAACCGTAATTTATGAAATAAAGAGCAATTATGATCTAAATGGTTGCAAAATTTAAAAAAAAAAACTTAATATTTATTTGTTTACTTTATTAAACATTTCTTTCAACGCGTGCATGCGTAAAGCATACATTACACATAGTCGAAACTAGAAAACTATTTGATGTGTTTTCGTGATATTTATAATAACGAGGAATTTGATTTAAATCATATCAAAGACTGAGTACATCGAGATAAAATACTACATTTAGTAAGGACTTATAAGCCGAATAAAATAAAAACATATGCCCTGAAGATGAGGATGAAGATGAGTGCTGACAGATCAACTTCCAGTTCATTGACCCCCCCCCCCATCACAGGGCAGCGGGAAATTGGTAAACATATTTTGCAATGGTTAGAGAATCAAAGGACATGCCTTTATCCATTTTTTGCAGCAATTCCACTTTTTGTATGATGGACATCGAAACATGCTTTTGCTTAGTAGCTCCAGAATCGGAAATTCTTTTTGACATAATCGAAAGTTCAAGCTTACTTTTATAAAATTGCTCGCTTTGTAGAGCGTTTGGTAGCTCCAGAATCGGAAATTCTTTTTGACATAATCGAAAGTTCAAGCTTACTTTTATAAAATTGCTCTAACAGTCTGCAAAAAATAATAAGCCAGATCCAATTAGAAGATTAAGGAACAAAGCAATCTGCAACATTAACTGAAATAGACAATTAGATAATTTTAGCTTAGCTTATACTGCCCGTTATACATTAAACATATTACGAGCATGCATAAAGGCATTATGCACATGTGTTAACGCATTATGCGTTGACGCATGCGCAGAAAGTTTGTAGCTTTGAGGTCCGGATTATAGATCATTCCATATTATGGACATCCGGGTTAAAGACTTTTGACTGTATTTGTTTACCATAGCAACACTCTGGTCCTACGTTCACTTAGCAGCGTTACATTTCATTCATTTTTTAACTCAGAATGCCCAAAATTTATATCATCTTAAGAATTATCTAATCATTGCCACATGTTCTATTCAAATACTATAATAAATCTAAAATGATGTATAAAAGAAATTAAGCAAAGAACAACAACAACAACAACAAAACAAAACAAAAAAAAAAGTTTTTCAAAGACGATTCAGTATTTCTCATTCAATTAATTTAGTTCTCACTTTACGACAAGGCAAAAATATATTAAAACTCTAGATGTCTGTACTGAAAATTATGAAGTAAATCTTAAACACTTACTTCCTCGAATAAATTCTAGAATGGATCACGCATGATTTAATTCACAATAATAAAAGAAGGCGGTATCTTTGTTATTGCAAAGCTTACTTTCTCTAGATTGGCAACAAATCTACTATTCTGCTGTTTCAAATGTAAACAAGCAATGGCTGCCATGGAAACAATTATTAGGCTTAGCGGCACTTAAACAACTTTTAAATTGTTGATAATTCTAAAAATATTGCATACAGATTCACTAAAGGCATAAAAAATCTTAACCGAAAGATAAGAATAACATAGTTCAATCATTTTTAAAGCAAAAAATGCACAATTTACAAACATATAAGAATAAAGAAACTGAGATCACTGAGCCGAGTAACAGAGTGGATATATATATATTTATATACTTTTGGTGCTACCAAAATACGAGGTGCACATCTACATGTTATAGCAGTCCTATATACAAAATTGCAACGTTCTGAGGTTACTCGTTTTTGAGTTATGCGAGATACGTACATACGCACAGACGCCACAAAAAATTCTCTTTAGAATTCATTTTAAATTAGTTTTACAATTTTTTTGGGGAAAAGAGTCCTTTATCCTGTCCTTACGTACAGATGTCCCATAAAAAAAATCATTACATTGCATTCAATAGCGGTGAAAACGGACATTTGCATTGAAATATGATGCCTGAAACTTTTTGCGATTACAATACTTTCTTTTTACTCCGTAGAAGGAAGTAAAAAAAGTATCTTGGGTATATGATATTTACATTTTATATTTACACTTTAGTCTATTTTTTTCATCGTGGTACTTTTCGAAGTGACACCACCTTTGAAAAAGCATAACCCCAATACTGCATGTTTTGAACATATGCTGGTATCCATATCAGATTCACTATCTGAAAGCAATTCATGTAGCACTTTCAGTGCTTTAGAAATGGTCAGCCCTCTCCGATCCGTTTGAAAAATAATTAAAAATCAAACAAAAAATAACATAATATTATACCTACAATTTGAAATTATAAACTATAAAATAAAAATATAAATGTTTACAACTCATAACTATTAAATGTAGCGCTAAGAAAACTTCTTTGAGCCAAAGCAAAAGAGAACAGCTCTAGTGACAAACCAAACAGCTAACTGATAAAATGATCCCTGACCTTCAGAAAATCACCCCAACAATTTCATAGTTGATAACCAAACCTCCCCCCCCAAAAAAAAGGGGGAAAGAAGAAAGAGAAAAACAGGAAATGAAACACAGATGTGGACCCACGTTTCTATGTTAATGAGCTGATCGATGAGCTGCAGAGAAACAAAGATACAGCTGCCTCTCGGTGACCTAGATTGGCAGTGAGCCCAGTCTGGGAACGCCTCGGTTCGCCATTAAATTTTAGGCAAGATTTCAAGGTAAAAATTTAAAACTAATATAGAATAAGGAGATTAGCATACAGCCAAAAAAATAACACAGAAATTTCCTTTCAAACAATTCCTTTCATACCCTAAAAAAAATTGGGAAGATTTCTTCGAAAAATGAGGGTCTTAAAAAATTAAACATGGCTAAAATATATGTATTGGTTTGTGTTGAGCTGCCATCTACTATAAATAAAGAAGGTTCACAGTAACCTATAGTAAACTTCAAATCCTTTTTCATTCAATTTTTCTGTGCGAACAGAAGGAAATTTTTAGGTGTGCCCAGACCAGGCACGCCATACCGCAAAGGGTTAATATTTCTAACAGGAAAGTAGGTCTTTTCAAGAGAGAAGATGTTCAGGAGTGAAATGATCAGTATTGCATTTCCTACAGATGGAGCTAGATTTTATTGCCCTGGTCCAATTTAAGGCATTTTAGGTATTGTCACCTAGGAGCCTTGTCAAAGTAGTGTGCTGAGCATGATGATTACCTCAAAAACAAAAGCACCTCCCAGCTCCCTGCCAAAGTAACAATCATGACCATAACAATATGCAGAGGATAATTATTTAATTTTCGATTAGTGATATAAATTGTATTTTATGGTGGGTGGCGAAAACTTCCACTTCAGAAAGGGTGGAATTGATATTATTTTAAATCACTCCAATATCTGGACCAGAATGAAAATAACAAGAGACTCCTCATAGAGCCCTGAGGCAGAAGCTGGTTTATTCTGTAGGGTTTTTTTTTAAATAGTTTGCAACTCTGCAATATTGCAATGTTTTCTTTACCTATTTTCCCCTATATAGTTATTATAAGCAATTTTTCAATGAAAAATTTTAGAACCAAACCAATTCCTTCCCTCTCCCCCCCCCAAAAAAAGATTTCTGGTTAAAGTTTTTATTTTTTGTCCAATGCATTTTTGGAATGCCATGTTTCTTGGTGTATTTTTGAACTTTTTTACTTAATTTATTATCCAAGAAATAACAGGAGAAAATTACGCGAATAATTTAATTTCCAAACAAAATGTAGTCATGGATAAACTACAGTTAACTACCATAATATATTTTTTTAATCTATATTCCAATAAGAATGCATAGCAACATAACATTATAATATCTAATAAAATATCTTCACTTCCCTGTAACTTTAATTTTGCTTGTTCTTATTCTTGTTTCTGCTATTCATTAGGCCTCAAATAGATGAATTAAAAAAAAAAAAAAAGGTGAATGTGCAGCTAACTCAGCAGAATCATAGACTGAATGTTCAGTTTATGTTTGCTTCACTATCACTGGTAGGTTCATGTATTAGTTGGCATAAAGTTCAACAGTTAGAACACAAAGGTTCAGCATGACCTTCACAATAGTTTGCAATGGCTTGTCTTTGTTAGAAAGGCAAAAACAAATCAGTACGTAGACGAACCCGTTTTAAAATTTGTGGAAGCTCATGGCTAATTTGTGGAAAACAGGCTGAGGAAGAGGAAATTTATTCAAATATTTTTTAAATTTTCAGAATCTAATGCTATAAAGTTAAGATGTAGTATGAAAATAAATACTACATCTTAGCTTTCTATGAACTACAAAGTTGGCATCTTTGTAGTTCATAGAAAATGTTATAATACAAAAACATTCCAATAATCACTGACTGACTTAAAGATTCATTAAATCAGTAATTGCTAGAATGCAAACAAATCATAAATTGCACTATTCTTAAATTTGAGAAAAAATAAAAGGTGTTTCTCTTTTGGGAGGATGCATAACTGTACATTCATTAAATTACTTTTGATCAGAGACATATAAAATTCTCCTTCCTATAATTAGAGACTTGTCAGAATGAAATACATCAAATACAATGAAAAACATACATAGTTTAAAATTTTAAAAGCTTTTGAAAATTTTGTTACATAGATTAGTAGAACACTCATCATATTCTTGACAAGAGTTTTAATTTAAAAAAAAAAAAAAAAAAAAGGTCAGCTTTCAATAAAATCAAAATTTAAAACCACTGGACATCGATTTTCTATAATATTTTATGTTGTCATAATACACAGTCTTTGCTTTTCTAATAAAGATGGATGTGCATAAAGCTAAACTCTCATGCGTGATCATAATGCATTAGCACTATTTCTGTTAAAAATATTTACTTGAAATTGCGAATACTAGTTAAATCCCATTGCTATTAATGTTTACTGTCCTCCATTAAAATACTTACATCTAAAACATTTAAAAATTAAATTTTCAGATGACTTCCTTACTTGTGTTATTACTGTTATTTTCTCCACCACGATTATTAAACTGCCCAGCTTCAGATGAATTAGATGATTTTTGAAGATAGACAATCTGTGCTCTTCTTGTTTTGGCCTTGGAAGTCTAATAATAGTGAAAAAAAATGCTTAGAATACTAATGAAATCAAAAATATTTTTAAACACAAATGAAAATTTGTTTAATATAATACAAACATTTAAGTCTTATTATTTTAAACTTAAATGTTTCGAATGTGGGGGCAATAGTTTAGGCATAAAAAAAAAAATTTTTTTTTTTTTTTAATTTATAAAAAGAAAAAAAAAAAAGAAAGAGAGAGAGAGGAGAAAAAATTCTGAAATCAAAGAACTTTTACACTATTAAGGATAGCAGGTTCCATGGGTTAAATGCATGATTATAATAAATTTATAAAAGGAAACATATGCATTTTTTGAAAGTGTACATCCATGCAAGAAATAATAATTACAAACTCTTTTAACTGTAAAATGTCAGCAATAGTAAAGATTAACAGTAAAATCGCAACAAACATTTTATTCTTGTTTTTAATAAAGATATAGAGGAGTTACTAGAAGATAGTAAAAATGAACTCAACAAGAAAGAACTGGAACAATTTCAGAAGCAGCAACAGAAGTTGATTGTACAGGAAATGTTTTCAGATGAAGAGGAAGGAAAAATAAATTAACCTAATTTTTTTATCTGCAAAATTTATAAAAAATGGGGGAAGATGCAAAATTTTTTTACAGAGATATTATGGTGGTAAAGCAACAGCAAACTGCAACACAAGCATTTTTGATGGCAATGCCATGTCTCACATCAGAGACATTTTACACTATAAACAACAAATCACATTTGAAAAATTTTGAATAAAACGGAGATCCACTGTGCTTCAATCAGGTTAAAGTGGCATTAAGAGACAATTAAAAAATACCCCAGATAGATAGTTACCTGATATTTTGATGGATTGGGAATTTCTTATCCAGACACTAACATCTCTCATTTCTCCTTATAATTTTCCACTTATGCTAGCTACTCTCCTTCATACAGGTACAACACAAACTAAATCATCACCTGTTTATTTAATATTGTGTGTCTGTGTGTGTCTTAGATTTAATGATTTCAATTTTTTTTTAATATATATATATATATATATATATATGATGTGCGCACAAAGAACTATCAAAACTCCAGTAGTCATGTGTGATGAAGGAACAGTTAATCTGTTTCACATTAATTCCCATGGGGAAAATAGTTTGGGTTCATGAGCATTATGGTTGATATGACTTGAGTGAATGGTAATAACCCCTTAATTGCCGTGGGCGTATATATATATGCCTTGCTCTGTAAATGCAGTAACTGCCTTGGACAAATATATACGCCCTTCCGAAATGCTATCATTTGCTTTGCACTGCTACCAATAAAATTATTCGTAAAGCTTTGGAATGTAACACCACAATGACAGAGTATGCAAAGATGGATACTATTTCAGAGAAAAGGAGAAGGAACTGGAGGGGGGGATGTTTCTGAAACAGTGAAAGTGATGAATAAGCTGTTATTGGTCATGTTTCTGTTTGAGGAAAACACATTTTTTTAAATTCTTTACTTTCCTTTTTGTTTACTGTTTGCAATAAGTGTTTTTTTACAAATATGTCTGACAGTGATGTTTAATGACTGCGCAGTTATTGCTCGTGTTTTTATTTGAGTAAAACACACTTTTTTATTCTGTGTTTTCCGTTTTCGTTTACTATTTGAAGTAGGTGCTTTTTTAACGAATATGTATGACAGTGAAACAGATGATTACTTTCCGTCATCTTCAGAATCGGACACCTCAGAATGTTACATCAGATGAAGAGGATTGCGACTAATCTCCGAAAGATGCTCAATGTTGGGTACAACTTGATACGAAAAACTTGCCTATGATGCCTCCACACTTTCCCTTTAGGCATACTGATTTTTCAAGGTATAATACTAAAACTATTACACTTTACTAGTCTAAAAATAAATTGATTGAAACTCCATTTTTGGGGATATTTTTTATTATACATATTTTTTATTATGCAAACATTTTTATTATATTTACATCTTTTTTTATTATACTTTTACTCTAAACATTAAATTTTGTATTTTCATTTTTTTTTTTTTTTTTAATTCTTTATTCTTTATTTTCTGAAAGTAAACAGTTTTAGACAGCAAAACTTGCACTTATTTTCTCCCTAATTCATGGCATAACTATGCGTACCAGTGTAAAAAACGGAGACACTGGTGAGTGAATCTTGCACGTTTTTCAAGGCAGTTAAGGGATTAATGAACCGAGATTTCATATGTGTGTGCATATGCATGTATGTAGGCAGCCATGTAGTATATGCTAAATTCAATACCTGAAAGATGCAATTGGAAGTACATTCAGTCTAGCCAGTTAATAGAAAAAAAAAAAAAATAATAATAATAATTGTTGTTCAAAAACAGGTAAAATAAAAGAGAATTTTTATAGGCGAGGTGTGGTCTCAAACTCAGATTGCATAATGGTAGAATGCATGATCTGAAAACTCAGCAAGATATTGATTTTCTTAGATAAACTACTACTAATGAAACTGATTATAAAACTCTTGTTAGATTCCTTTCAGAGAATCAAATAGAATTTAAATCTCATACTCTCAAAGCAGAACGTCCCTTAAAAAATGTTGTTCGAGGCCTACCCTCGGTAATGCCCATCAACATTGTTCAGACTACGATTGAAGTTGCTGGGTTTAAAATCCACAAAATAACTCAAACGATGGAAGACTAAAGTTCCAATGCCTCACTTTTATGTCCAGATTTACAACAGCCTGAAAGCTGACAAAGTCTTCAATATCACGGAACTTCTCGGCACTGACGTCAAATCGAAAGATTCAAAGGAAGGAAAGGCCCTTCACAGTGCTGGCGCTGTTAGGGTTTTTTCCACAGCTCTCAAGTTTGTACTTTACCCCAATGCTGTATATGATGTGCTGGTCTGCACCAAGCTAAAGTCTGCACCAAGTCCCTTCGACGAAGCCGATGAAGTGTGCAAACTGCCTAGGTTTTCATGCCGCGAACTGCCATTCGTGTCCATGGCACTTTCCTGTAGCCAAGAAAAACCTTAAATAAACCCACGACTCAATCCATCCAGTCCGTTGGTCCTTCTCCCCAACAATAGCAACAATCTCAAATCAAACTCACGTCCGGCTGCAAAGTTTAATGGTGACAGTAAAGTTCGTCCTGCAGTCTCGTACTCCAATATCTCAACGGGCACTCAACAGGTTGCTTCCCCCCCTTATTCCAAATTATTCGGTCCAACCAAGGAGCTTATCAGACTCAAAATTGCGCCGAAATCCTTTTGGCAATAATCCAGATCTCTTAATCAGCCTAGGCATTGACCAGAGCAAATTACTCTTAGCATTCAAAAATGCCTTGCCTAAGCTATGAGTGGCTCCCTCTGGTGCTGACGCTGCGCATACTATATTTTTGTGAGCTATGTTACTCTACAAATTTTCTGATTCCCCTCACATTAAAATTCAAGACTTTGAAAGGTTTGAAGTACTTAAAATTATGTTCCCCATGCGTAACGTGTATACGAGGCCAGTTATGTGTAAATATCACGAATTTCGTGATTACGTCGAAGAGAAGGGCTCTGACATATCTTTGTCCAAGAGACCAGACTTCAAGCCAGGAAGAGTTCCCAAGCTTGCAAATTACTTATAAAAATGACAGACAAGCATCGGATTCTCGTGCTGTTTAACATGGTGGTACATTTTTATTAAAAATCATATTCCCCATCGCAGTATTGACACACCGAGTCTGAGCAAACTCAAGATGATGATTATCGAAATTTGTATTCAAAATTCACCCTCCTTAGTTTTAATCTCTGCCTATCTTCCACCTTTATTCAAAACAAGAGAAAAATTTCTGGTGGAGGATTTTAACAAACTGCTCAATTTATCAACCAATATCATTATCGCTGGTGATTTAAATTGTCACCACCAGGCTTGCCGCTGTAAAATTTCCAACACCGCTGGTTGTGGCCTCCTAAAATGGGCTCAGTGCGTCCAATTTAAAATTATACTGCTGGATTCATCCACACAATACGATGTACGGGGAGCTCCTTCTTGTATTGATTTGGCTCTTTTTTCGAAATATTCCTTTTGACTATTATGTGAGTGTGGAAAGTTGTCTATCTTCAGATCACAACCCCATACTCATCGACCTTAATTGTAATTCTTTTAATCAAAATTCTCCTGCACTTGTCTCTACAAATTGGGACAAGTTTCGATATAAACTTAACAGTAAAAGTTTTCCCTCCCTTGAAATTAAATCCAGTGACAATATTGACAAAGCTGTTGATCAGTTAACTTCTATCCTAACAGATACTTTTAAAGAAGTATCAAAAATAAAATTCCAGCTGAAATCAAACTCAAAATTCGAGAAAAGAATAAAGTACAAAGGCTTTGGCAAAGAATTAGTCCTGACTTAAAATTACAACTTTGTGCTCTCCAAAATGAGATCAAGGCTTCATGTGACCAGTTCAATCAATCATGATACTCTAATCACATTCGGTCCCTAACGACCACAGATAACAGTTTTTGGCATGCATCTGCCAGACTTCGCAAACACAAATCTCGTATTCCGTCCTTAGCTAAGGACGCGGTGGTGGCTCATACAGACACAAAGAAAGCTGAATTAATTGCTGACAATCTATCTATAATATATATATTAAGCTTAAGTATTTAATAATGGGAGTTTCTCTTAAATCTATATTAACTGTTCTATCTTACTTCAGCGTTTTGAGTATTTAAAAATCAGTTATGTTTCAAAATTGGTCTTTCATGTCGTTTATATATGTAGGCAAATGCTTTGTCTACATTTCGTTCCTTTAAACCTATTTCTTCTTGAAGTTGGTATTTTAGTTCTCATCAGTGCGTATATATTTAATATGTAATGTTCTAATGAGTAGAAGAAAACACCGGAAGTTTTAACAGCTTTCGATATCAATCCTGGGTGGTGGTTAAAGAATACAGATGAAGGCAACAAAACTGAATTTCGACAAATCACCAATATTTAGTTTCACACATATCCAATTAACTTGGAAGACGCTTATTCAATTAAAATAAAA